CGATCGGCTTATCAGTTCAGTAGTATCAATACACCTTTTCCGTCTAACCTCGACCCAGCGCGTAACGTGCGTAGCCTCGACTCGGCGACTCGGCGCACAGCGGGAATAGTTCTTCCGGTTCTAACACTTCCGGTATGCGGGAGCAGGCCTAGCCGGCTGACAAGGTGCTGAAGTGGTGCGCGTTAAATGGGTTTCGAAGCCCTTGACAGCGAAGTGAGTTGTAATAAGGTGGGTTAATACGTCGATGTATCATGTCCGCGCATATTTGGTCATCGGGCTACCACTGCGCAGTCGTTGGCTGCAGCAGCAATTTACGAAAACGGAAGATAGCGCGCGACAAATTGTGCACCGAACTCAAGAATTCGCAAAGCGAATGCGACTGTAACGTATACACTTTGCATCGCTTTCTCCGCTGATATCAGCGGGGAAGCGATGCAATATCAGCACATAAAAAAAGCAAATAGGCAGAATAGAAACGGACATCTACAAGTGCAGTGATAGGCCCCGACAAGTCAAATGTAGAACGAATTTTGCACCTTGTGGTGCAAATGTAAGACCCTGGGTGTAAAGATTGTTATTGACTACTCAAGTTTTGTTTTTCATTCCGTTCATTCCTACGAGGATGAGAACTATAATTTTGTGTGTTGCTCGGTAGCGACGCTCGTTAAAATACGTTAATGGAAACAATACGAAAAGAGGACGCAAAATCGTCGTCGCCCTCCCCCCCCCCCCCCTTTCACCCCTCATCTATAATAATAATAGTAATAGTTTTATTTCTCATCAATGATGAAGGGGGGGCCGGAGAAAAAAGCTGCAAAAGAACAGCTTGACGAGTCTCCGGCCCCCTACAGTGGCAAGACAGACGGCAGCAAGAACAACGAACAAGTTATAAAACAGGGAAGGGAAATAAAGAATGAAATACAGTGGCTTGACAGTCATTCATGATTACATTTTTAGCATGGACAGTACTAATTTCACATGTATTCAGCTAAGGTCCAAATCATTACTTGTGAGGCTGTTGAGTAAAAACGGTAGGGTGTGTTTGAGCATTTGCTTACCATAATTTGTTCTGTGAGGGATCATCTTCCAATACTCAGTGTGATGAGTGGGATACGCCTGGATATTTTTGGTCAGTGCTGAAAGTTCAGCTAGAAAGCGAGAATTCCTTTTTTGTTCGTTTTTTAAAACTAACGCTCAACCTCTAATTATATAAATTATGTGCAGTAATAATTGCAAAGCGCGTAAGGAAGTCTGCAGTATGAGAGTCATACGGAGCGTTACATATAATTTTGATTATTTTATTTTGAAGTAAAAATATCTTACCTAAATTTGTTGACGTGGTCGTGCCCCATACGAGGTGACAATAACTTAAGTATGAGTAGAAAAGGGAGTTGTATATAAGTAGTCGCACAGAAATTGGCAAGACAGAGCGATTTCGATTAACCGACCCGACGGTACAAGATAACTTACTGATAACGTGATTTACGTGGCAGTCCCACGACATGTTTTCAGAAAAAAGAACGCCGAGCGTTTTAAAAGAACACACAATGTCAATAGGTGACGCGTTTAAGATAAGGCTAGTATTGTACGAGAGTTCTTTATTTTTAAGACGAAACATAATGGCTTTCGTTTTGCTTGTTTTAATTTTCAGCGAGTTTTCATTTGCACATGAATTTAATTTTGATAATGTTTTATTTGCAAGACTGATAAGTAAGTTTGGCTCGTCGGCAGAAAAAAAAAAAAAAAAGCTCGTATCGTCAGCATACATAACAAGTTTAGCTTCTTTATCTATGTTAACTATATCATTCACATATAGTTCCGACGCATCTGGGCGTCATACGAAGTGGAGATGTCCCGGTAACTAGAGATCGTACCTCGACGGTGCACCATAACATTAAACCGTTCGGCCCGCGTCGCCAACTCCGATTGTGAGTATTTCTACGATTAAACGATGATACTCCTATGCCCAGGGTCGCCCTCGCTCGCGCATAGAAACCCTCCGTTAGTCATTCGCAGAAGGCTGTCATTCTTCACAAACAACAACACGCGAAGTGTAAACACTGGTAAACGTCCTCAGGAAAAGTGAACATGCCTCCGATTTCGATTACCGGCGACGCTGGTGACGAACCTCTCGGCGCTGTTGGCGCAACAACGGGCGACATTAAGGCGAATAAACACGCCAGAACACAAGAATAATTCACACTTTCAATAACAAACAAATTAAGAACTCGCTAAAGGGAAAACTATGAAGATACGATGCACGGGGTCAATGGGGACAACGCGGGAGCTAGGAACAACGCTGCTCTCCGCATACCAAAATGGGCGCACAACAACCGTACGCCAGACGGCGCGGCTGTCGCTGCAACGTGCAAGATGGCGACGACTACGCGGAAAAGGTGTATAGTCGAGCGCCGGGCCGGCCGAGCGCGTCACTCACGTCTTTCACGGCGCTGGCGCCACCCGTGCTCTCCCCGGGTAAGAAAACAAAATAGAAAAAGAAAAAAAAAAGAAGCTGTACATGTTTGATGACGTCGCGGACGTGCCGGGAGAAGGAATTTGGAGGAAGCGGAAATGCAGCCGGGCAGTGTTGTCTGGCCCGCACGTCTCAACCAAAACCAGCGGATTCGTGCTTGTCCAACTTCGACAGCGATTTTAATGAACTTCTAGGCGGAATTCCGTCGTAATATTTGCCATGGGGGTTTTGTAGATGATAACAAAGAGAACTGTATAGTTTTGCACTACTGGAAAAGAAGCGGAGTTGCCCTTTAAGGGCCCTAATCTGGACACTTGGCGAAAAAGTCGGCGAGAAATCTGGCGGCTGTGATTGGCCGACGCCGCACTTTACCTTGGCGCTGGCCAATCATAGCCATCAAATTTCTCGCCGTCTTTCTGGCCAAGTGTCCAGATTAGGGCCCCAGCTCGTAGCGTTGGCTGCGTCTGGACTTTAAAGGGGCCCTCAATGACTTTTTGACTGATTTTTAATTTGCACTAAACCTGAGCGTACTGAACGTAGTAACTTAATCCAACTTTTCTTTTCTCAAATTTCGCTTTATTTTATAAGTTATAGGCAAATTAGAATTACAAAAACAAGCAAAAAATAACCTCCTTCATGACGTCGTAGGTCCCGCCTTGAGTGGCCTTGAACTAGAGGAGAAGTAGTGAGCTCATCGAGCGCACACGGCTGCCGCACACTGTGTCGACGGCTCGAGAGGGCGCCACTAAAGCACGTGTTGGATAGGCTGCATGAAGCGGGCGGCCAAGGCAGCTCGCATTGCATTTGCAGCGCGACTAAACACTAATTCGGCATAACATTTCATTGGCCACAAACGACAGCAAACACGGGGTAAAGATCAGTTCAGAACGGGAGCTACTTCGCGCTGACGCACCGCCAAATGGCCAAATCGCCAGCAGGGCCCGCGCCGAAGGCCTTCGGAACGCTCGGAACCGGTCGGATTCTTGAGCCGGTATACGACCACAGCGCCGCCGCGTACATTCGGGACCTTTCTACGCTCCTCGTTTGTCGTAGCCTCATCTCACTAGCCTTTTCTAGTATGCGCCGTTTTTTTCCGCCGCTTGGTGGCGGGTATGTCGACGGGTCATTTCTCGTTTCCGTACTTTCTAAACTGCATTTGTTTCTTTTCTGAATTAAAATAGTGAACAAAAACTACTTTCATACATAATTGAAACGTTTCTCGACACTTTTATTTTGTATTTCGACTAAAAAAAAGCTCTTAGCGGCTTTGACCAGTGGCAAGCCCAGGACCAACGACGTCACATTTTGCGCGCTTTCGGTACCGCGGGTCGCCCTCGTCGGTGGAGGAGGTTTCCGCGTCGTCCGGTTAAAATATGACGCACTGATATTTAGTTACTCTCTCCGTGCCCACTGGCTTGCCCCAACCCCAAGAGACGTGGAAACCGCAAAAAAGGTAGACGCTTAAATATGATTGCAGGGCCCCTTTAAGGGACACTGAACCGAAATATGGATTTCGCAAAATAAGGACGCAGAAGCATTGAACGGGACGCTAGGAAATCCAAAATATCACCCATACATTGACATCTGAAATGGATGGCCGCATTTATGGAAAAAAAAAGGGCGCGATCAAGCGAGGACTACCTGACGTCACGATTCTGTTGGAAGAGTCCAAAATGAGAAGAAGCGGCCTCGCTTCTCTCCTCCTCGCTTTGCTTCACCAGCTTGTGGGGACGAAGCAGAGGGGCAATGAGGATTGTGACGTCACATGTGTCGTCGGTCGTGTTCAATCGCACACTTCTTTACCAAAAATATGTGCATCCGTTAGAGATATCGCTGCACAAGTGATGTTTTTGGGTCCTGCAGCGTCTCACCTATCGCTCCAGCCTTTTTTTCGAGCTCTGAATTTTGGTTCAGTATCCCTTTAAGGGGAAATGAAGTATAGTAAGTATATTTAAAAAAAGCGACGAGTGTCCCCACCTTTTCGCCAACTCTCCTCCTCACTATGCGACAACGCACAGGCAACCAGCCTGAGCAGAAATTGTTTGGCATTAATTGCAAAGTGTTCTTTATGGCTTGGGTTGCTCCCCCTCTTAATCTTGTTGCTCTACACACCCCAAATGCCAAAAGCGTACATTTCATAATTCAGTTTGTTCTTAGGGAAAGCTCTCCTGTGCCCGTTTCCTGACCAAACATCCAAGGAGCCAGTAGAATTTATTCTCTCAACTTGAAAGTGGGTGACGTGCATGACGCAACAGGCACCTTGACACACTCAGTGTACTCTTTGTGAAAAAGATCAGCAGCTTGTCTGCATCCTTACATTCTGTTCACTACTTCCATGTTTGGAGCTTCTGGCTAACGCCTTTTTTGTTAACATATGCTCTCATTACACTCTATGAGACATACTTCAATAAGGCAAATATAAAACCTGCTTCATAGTTCCATAAAGAAGACCGCCAATTCTATTTCCCTTGCCTATGCACGAGCGAGCAGAAGCCTTAAACCCCACGTAAAAGAAAAGGTTCACCGGTAGTCCTTAAACCTACTTTTAATATTCAATTTAAAACCAAACACAGGAATGCCGCACTCCATAAAAGACCGGTGCCCAAAGTTCTGCAGAGCACTATTTTTCTGTCGCAGCTGGAGCAAGTGGGAGGCCGTCTGTACACGTGGGTCGGTGCAGACGGGGAGGCTTGAATTCGAACTGCAATAAATAGCTCTACCGCTAACGTCCTCAAAACGGCAACAACATCGAACGGACACGACCGGCGGCCGGCCAGTCGGCGTCCCTCCGCCGCAATCCAGGGGTGGTCTGGCGGGCGGCGAGGCTTCCTCCATCGTCATCTGTCTTCCGTCCCGGAGACGATCCCCGGGGGCGCCTGGCTTCGCAGGTTCTGCTGCTGCCTCTTCCCCAGGGCCCAGCCGCCCCTTCCACCGTGGCGACGTCCCCCGCGAGGACGGCTCACGCCATTCCAAGGCTCGGACTGCTCCTCCGTGGAGCTCGAGGTTGCCTCTGACTGCCGGTGTGTGCCCGGCCCTTCTGCCCTTCCGTCCCGAGGAGGAGCTTCGTCCGGCGCAACAGACGTGCGGTCGCCGACGGGGGCGCAGTCCTCTCGCTTGGGCCTCTGCTCTGGCCTGGGTCTGGTCCTGTGCTGGCCTCCCCTTCCGTTGGAGAAGTAGGCACGTCTCCCGACCGGCTGCCGGTCCGGCCTCCATGGCCGTTGGACTTCGGCCGCGGAGCCGTCCACTTCCTCTGAGTCGCCGAGGCCGGGGCCGGAGTTGTGCGGGGTCTCCCTAAACTTCCGGTGCCTGTTTCTCACGGACGGTCCCAAGTTCTGTGCTTGTTTCCTGTCCACGTCATCTGTCGGCGGTGGGCCGGCGCAGCCACCGAGTTTTGTGGTGGGAATGGCCACTGCGGCAGGCCTTGTTGTGGCGTTTCGCAGAGTCCGAAACTTGAAGGGACCTCCGACAAATCGCTTCGGGATTTCGGCTAAAGTGCCACTTCCCTCCGGAGCCTGTGAAAAGTGAGAACAAAGAGACAGTTGGAACATTCCCAAGCACGAGCTTCGTGCTACTTAAAGTTTCCAAAATATAGTAAAATCCCAAAGCAGTGATGTGATTGGCCTAAGCTGTTTTGGAGCACCTTTCGGAGCAGCCAAAACAGTGTTTTGGAGCAGCAAAAGTGGCTTTTGGAGCAGATATTCTTAGAAAAATAAAAATATTTGTTTCAAGTGCTGGACAAACGAAGGACGCTGCTCGCCGCAGTAAACATATTATAGTCAAGTTAGACCACCTGGGAGTCTTTCAACATGAAAATGAAAAGCCAATAACATTAACATTTTGCAATGCTTCAGTAAAATGATATATATATATATATATGTACCCGCTATAGGTAAATAAGAACCAAACTGCATCTATTAAAATTTATTTTAAAATGACCAGCTTAGTATTAAATATCACAGCATTAGGTTGACTACGGTAGTTATATAATAAATAGAAGCAGTCTCTAACTGTTGATACACGTGACCACTGCTGTGAAATGCGAAATTGTCACGCAAGCGGAGATAGCTGTTCGATCGAAACCATGCCACTCCGCTCCATCCCCAACTGGCTCCCAAAATTGTACACAAAATGTAACTGTCCAGCATACGACAAAAAACAGCCCAGCCGCAAGTGCTTGCCAGAGCGGCTGGCGAGGTACAAGCTAAACACACAGAAAAAAAAAGAACCTGAGCACATTGATGCAAGACATCACGAGCCAGGGTAAAAAGGTTCTTGGAGCGCTTTGTGCAACGACTGAACTCAAGAGAAACAAGCGCGCTGTGCGAGTTCAGCATAACAGACATTGCCTTCTTTGCTTTAGCTCACTTCTCTTCAACACTTTCGCGGCAGACTTTTCACGTACCGGGGTCCATCTCGAAAGAAAGCTTACCGAGAGAAACCTAGGTAAACAGTACTTCGACACAGCAGTCTTTGATCCAGAGGGATTTTTGTAGTAGCATATTAAACAAGAACAGGAATGTTGATGAACATTAGGGCAATCCTTACGTTTCAGTTTAGAAAGTGCCATATCTACTGCGACGTGGCGACGGCAACACTCGACGTCGCACGACCACAACGACTCGCAGGCAGGGACCAAATATAGTTTTCCCACGGCCGTTGCTTTCAGAAGCAAGTGCTTTAGCTCACAAAGTAACTCCCGCTGCACAAAAACGTGGTTTCGTTTCACAGCATGATGACATTGGTTCTACCCAGCACGCCAGTGTCGGGGCATCCGCACGTGCCCGTGTCTATCGTTGAAGAAGTTTTCAAAAGACGCGAAACAACGAAAGCGCGAAACGAGAGACGGCGGGAAAAACCATGCAAGACCGGATGAACGATTGATGAAGGGTACTTTGTGTCGGGCGGCCGCTTACGCCACCTAGCTCACGTGTGCTCATTACAGTACTCAGTTTAGTTTCGGTGTTGAAAGGCGAGCAAAATTGGTTCTTTACCGCAGATTACCTATATTTTGGCAAAATGTCGCAGGGTTAGCCCCTTGGCGCAATTGGCGCAGCAATCACATCACTGCAAAGGAATGTCCTCCCCCCAGAAATTGCCCATCCCGTCAGCAATTGCTACATAGCAATACAATAGACTCATTAATTCAAACTCCAGGAAGTCACAAATTTTGTTTGAATTATCAGAAGTTTGAATTATCAAAAATTCATCTAAATATGATCCAAGATAGAACAATGATTTGCCATATGGGTGGATGGCTACACATACAAAGCAGATATCTGATGATTTCCTCTACATAGGTCTGCTGATCATAGCAGGTATGCCATACATAAAACATTCGTGAAATGTACGACACAAGTTTATTTATCCCTCAAAAATGTTGGTTATCATAGACTGTTTAGACAGCACATGACGACTCGAAACAAAATTAAGTTTGCTCATCATGCCAAGAATTTGTCTAATGTGAACTATTAAGCAGGTGACACACGATCAATGAAAACGGGCACTGCGTGGCAGTTTTTATGGCAACTTACATGGACGCTGTGACGTGGACCTATGCCATGCCGCCACATCAAACCGTTCGTGCAAGTTGCTATGAAAATTTCTGCGTGGTGCCCGTTTTCATAGCTCATAGCGCCCTACTTGAGCCCCGTTGAATGCGCTTCTCGCCTAACACCGGTGCACTGCAGAGAAGCAACACTCGCAAAAGCAAGCTCCGCGGGTGTTGCCTCTCTGCAGTGCACCGGTGCCCAGAAAGAAGCGCACTCAACAGGGCCGAAAGAACAAAAAGTATGAACCAGAAGAAAATGCCGTTCGAATTAAGTGGCTAATTAATACATTAAAAACAGCGGGACAATTAATTAAGGAACTTATGACTATATTAAAAACATAGCGGGACAACCAAGCTTTCTAAATTTTTTGAATTAACCCGAAGTATGAAATATCAAAGTTTGAATTCTTGCGAGAGCGTTATACACCAACTCATGTTTACAAACAAACCGGAGCGCCCCTAGCGGACGCCACCGGCGCCGCGCATGCGCGATGGGGGTGTGGGCAATAAGCTCGCCGTCGCCCATAAACAAACCATTGAAATGCGATGTTGTCGGCGTCGGTGCGAGTCCCCCTGCCCTTTTTCGCATTTGAATTGTTGATTCTACGTCTTCCTGGCGACGTATACTACTTGAGCAGCATCAGCGAAATTACCGAGGCTTGTTACACCGCAAAACTTTGCGTGAATAATGTGACATTCGGCGATTCATTCCACGTGGACGCCGCAGTATGTATGCTAAAACCTAATTCGCATGATGAGATTTCGCTCGCAATTTTCAATCGCGACACTGCTCGGGCTGCAAAAGCGTGAACCGTAGCTGAGATGGTCGACGTCGATACTGAAAATCGCAAGCAGAATCGGACTAAGTCCATTAGGTCAGTGACCATCACAAGTCAGTGATGGTCACTGGTAACAATGATCAACATCTCCTTGTATCTACTGTTTACATCGAGCCTGCTCACCAACCTTCAAACTTAAGTCTTTTGAGGCCTGCACTTACTCCTTATCGCAAGTACCGGGCCAACATTTGGTCCACGGACCGGTGTCGTCTAAAAGAGCAGACGACAAGCAGAAACGTTTGAAAGAGCAGACAGCAGTCGAACGATCAGGCGGCCGTTTACACTTGAAGACGCACTGAATGCAGTCCGCATGTGGTCCCGTTCAACTTAACGGTTTTCCAGCGTTCATGTTGAAACAAAAAAAAATAGATCTGACGACCACAAGTAACCGTGAATTCAACCCAAAGTGCTTCCCGCCCAAGCAATCGTTGTTCGACGGTGTCTGCTTTTCACTCTTCACGGCACATATCCAGATTCTCGGACGAACCGAGCACGTGAAAACTGACCTTCAAAGCTTTCTCGACTCTTTTGGTAGGGCCCCAGTTACGGCATTTTGACGAGAAGGCAGGTTTTTGCCTGGTTCCTTTCAAAACAACGCAGGAATACACGTCTGGCATGGGGACTTCTGCCCACAGCCCCAGACCGGAAGTGCGTCCGACGCGCCACCACCGCGCCGTGATGTCATGGAGTTGGGTTGGTGTATAAATATGATAAAAAATATGGGAAATAAAGATCTACTACAAGAGAGTTTCCAAAATTTTGTCAATTGTTTTATACAGTAGACCATTCGTTCGAGGAGACATGAGTATTGCAACCTTCTCATAATCAACCGACTGCAATTAAACTTGTCGTGAGTATGTATTTCCTGGCGCTGATTTCAAATCTGTAATTAGATTTCAAATAGCTATATGAGATCAGGAGATATGAAAATGTTTAAACATATTAAAAGTATCTCTTACAGGGATTTAATGTAATTTCGCTCCATCGGGCATGCGAACGAAATGCATTAAAAGCAATGCCAAAGACTTGTTTTAGCTGGTGATGCTAATTGTTTGTTTCTAAGAGCATTTCATACAAAAGAATACATCAGCCTTAGAAAACCTTAAAAATTTCAAAGAAATGTCTAATATTATTGCCACTTATAAGCTGGTAAACAATGCTAGAGCAAAATAAATAGCATCATTGGCAAGATCGATTAAATACAAATATAAAACTGAGCTCTTGGTTGTAGCCCAAAGACATAACAGCCTCCATAAGGTGGCATGTGATGTTCCAAATCATTAAATTGAGAAAAACACACTTGAAGTTTGAGCTTGCCATACTTCTATATGAATGAGGCTAGAACACTGTGAATAGCGTCACCATGTAGCCCAGTCCCCCACTAATAAAAACATACCAAGTTCATGGTCATGAAAAAATAGTAAGATATCTAAAACCTCTGCAAGGCAACACATAGTGCCCCAAAACTGAAAAAAACTACATTTATCACTTCACGTCCCTTTTTCAAAGCCTAGGCAAGCAACAGTCACATCTATAGCATCACCATGAAACCCTGTCCTCCGGAAATAAAACAATACCAAGTTCATTGTCGCAACAGATATCTGAAAACACCTTGAAGCACACATGATCTACTAAAACTTTCACAAAAAATCTGATTTATTGCATCATGTCCTTTTCTCAAAGCCTAAGAAAACAAGAGTGAAAAAAAAAGCACCATCATGTAGTTTTGGTTTCCATGAAATAAAGCGTATCAGGTTCATCATTTATGGTGACAACACAACATGAACACATCTAAAAGAAAATTAGATTTATCACTTCATGTCCCCCTTTTCAAGGCCTCAGTATAAAGGGTCAAGTACACAGCACCACCGGTGTAGTCCTGTTTTCCATGAATAAAATGATATCAAGTTCATGGTCACAGCACAACAGGAACCAAGACATAAGGTTGTCTAGTGTCCTAGGGTGCAACTCAGGCCTAGAGCAGGCCAGGACTGTGGTCGGAGTTTATTGCTGGCTTGCATTTCCTTGCGAGCTTTGCCTCGACTGCATGCCTTTCTGCATGGTCCTTGCTTGATCTCTGGAGCCTGCGGCAATCCTTCTCAAGGCTCATGATGCACCAAACGGC